CCCCTCTCCCTCCCCACTCCCCCACTTGCTTCCCCCTCCTTCCCACCCCCCATATTCCCCCCCTAAATCCCCCCCCATCCTCCCCCACAACCCAAGTTCCCCCCTCTACCCCCCCCCCCCACACTCTGCATAACATACTAACCTAACCACGAATTACATAGGTTTCCCACTCTGAGGCAATCAGGATAAAGAAAAAAAGGGGGTTTGCCAAAACCCAGGAAGAAAACCAAGGGGATAGGAGGGGAAGTTGCAAAGGAGATTGGGCGCAGTGCCAAAAAAGGGAAACTGAATGGGAAAAAAACTAAAGAACTTACATGAGAAGGAAAAGGTAATATGGAAAGCAGAAGTGGGGTGCAAGTCAAAGCAGCAGAGGTAGGATACAGATTTTAGAAGAGGAACTGAAAAATTGAAACGCCTAAAGAACTAAAAAACATTTTGGGATTTAATCAGAATGCTTCCTCATACCAAAAAAGGGACGTAGGGGGATAAACTGAAGTAAAACTCTATCAGAGGGACTGTAGTAAAAGAAAGAGCTAAAGCATAGTGGAGGCCCTAACAGACCAAGGGAGAGCCCAGGGGAAAACAAGAAGGGGGAAAAAGACAGGCCCCTGGCCCCCAAATACTTAGCTGTGAAAAATGAAGAAGGAACCTGCAATGGAGGAAATCAAAATTTTAAGAGGGATACACAAGGATATGAAGGGGGAGAATGAAAGGGGGGGGGTCAGTCTTTGTGTATGGGCTCCAGGAAGTTGAAGGGGAAACATATGAAGCAAGAAAAAAAAGGGGAAAAAAAGGCAATTGAAAAAATCTAAAAACAATAGGGGAAGATGACATGACCCAGCTGGAAATTTTTTGGGGAATGGGGGGGTTTTTAAAAAAAAAAGGGCCCGGGCCCGGAAAGTGACCTTCAAGGCGAATCAATTGGAAAAGGGTCCTGCGGAGAAAAACACGAAATTAAGGAAATGGGGCCGAATACAGGAAAGTGTAAATCGACCGCGACAGAAACAAGAAGAAAGGCAGAAACTGAGAGAGATGGGGCAAAAGGGGAAAGGGGAAAGAGAGGGGATGGGGAAAAACAGTCAGGGATCCCAGACCCCGGAAGAAAGGTCAAATAAGCCTCCCTCACATCTTCCTAAGAAGCCCCCCCAAACCAGGTCAACCCCAGTGCAACCAAACACTCTAAACCAAAACCCCATGCCCCCTCCCAAGCCCCCACTGCATTTCAAGCTCCCCCCCCCAAAAAGCAACCACCCATAGTTTTCCTTTTAGGGCTCCCCCTTCCCCAACCCCAAAAATACCTCCCAGACCACAGTCTTTGAAAAGAAGTTTGGGGTGGTATATAAAAGCAAAGGAATGACAAATAAGTATGAGGAGTGGCATGAAAGAATCAAAGGGGACATCCCCAAATAAAAACACTCCCCAGAAACAAAATCACCAGAAAATAAAAGATTTAATCTTTTTCCTCCGGATTTCAAATCCTCAGGAAAAGACAGAGGGGGGGAGAGGGGGAGGGGGGAGGAGTTTCACTGTCATTAAAAAACCAGTGGGGTTTTGAGAAAATGGAAGGGAAAGGTGGCACAGTGAAAGGGAATACTTAGAGGGAAAAATCCAGTTGGGGAATAAGGGGTAATTGCTAATGTACAAAACCCCCCAAGAACTGCAGGAGGTAAAGAGAAGAATCGATGGAGCAACATGCAAAAGGGAACAACTAGTGAGGGGGGCCAGGAGAGCACACATGGGGGGGCAAAGTTACATTTTGGGTGATTCAATCCAAAAGGAGATTGACGGGGAAAACTGGGCCCCCTGGGGGGCCCAAAACATGGAGAGCCGATGAGGGTTTTTGTACTGGAAAACCTCATGTATAAAAGTTGTGACACTCCCGGGGAGGGGAGGTGCCCGCAGGCGGGAAAACCTTTTTTCGCTGGGCTCTGTTTAAATTTGGGGGGCTTTTCTGTTTGACACAAGTTATTAAAACCCCCAAAAAAAAACCCTCAAAAAACTACCACCCCCCAAAACCCCCAAAATTTAAAAATCAAAAACCCAAAAAAATAAACAACAAAACAAACAAAATTTTTTCCCCTTCCCCCCCCCCTTTTTCCCCCAAATGTAAACAAAAAATAGGTATACTGAGAATGGAAAAAAGGTACAAAGGGCAGGCTCGGGAAAATAAAGAGATTAG